TTTTGATGCACACCTGAATAAAAATTAACAGGTTATTTTAAACTACTTCCTTACACGCACACACGTGTTCAAACAAAATATGCATTGTAAAGCGCAATGCTGAGTTTAAGAAATAGAAATATGCTGCACGTTAAAACATCCTAAAAAATAATCACCAGCTGTATTTTGCAATTAATCATTTATTTGTTTCCTGCCATTCCAAAAATCCCCAATCACATCAAACTTCAGCTCCAAGGCTAGACTGCATACGCTCTCCTTCATAGCCCCAAGCAGAAGCTTGTTAGAGACAGGCTCTAAAATCTCCAAAAGAAAAGAAAATTTGGCCCCAGATAACGGCTGTGGTACAGGAGAGGCACAAAGTCTCTCCCACTGTGAGGAGTGTTTTCACAGAAGGGTGACCACTTGTGGCCCTCTGCTACAAATAGTTCATCTTAAGGAGTTATCAAGAAAGAAAACCATGGATATTCTGCACAAAAACAACAGTGTGTTAGTGGAGTGACTGTCTTCTAAGGAAAAACTGAAAATAAGAAATTAAATTAAAAGCAAAATGATCCTGAGGATTATAAGCAGACAACCTAGGCAAGTTCTGTTAGTCTGAAAAATTAACTAATCCAAGAAATTCCAAAATAAGAAAAATAGTCCTGGTAAAATGTAAATTATTTTGGAAAAAAACTTTTTTTGTTTTTGGTAGACATCTGTGTCACTCGAAAACTCTGCCACATCTGCTGTCACCATCACAGTTAACGCTGTTCCACCTTTGGCTTTGCTGCTGCCTGGCTTTGCAGAACACTCACCCCTCTCCTGCTCCAGCAGAGCTGGGGAAGCTCTGTGGTGTTATGCGCACTGAGAGCGTTTTGACAATTGGTTAAAAGTAATGCTTGGTTTTTAACCTATGAGACTAAAATAGATAATCTTTCCCAAAAGGATATAATGTCTCATCTGTAAGACCCATTGACAGGTTTAGCTGAATTTTATCACACTAGCAGGAGCTGCTGGCTGTAGGTTCTAATAAGAAGGGGACTTCTTACTGGGACTATCTTCATGAGCCAGCAAAAGGGAACATTTCCACCTTCTGCCCAGAAGTATTTGTACAAATAAAGAAAAAACTCCTCTCCTCTCTTACCCTCTAGAAAATATTTTTATTACCAAACTCATTATATATATTGACATGATTAACATATGAGTGAAGCGGTACAAAAATTAAGGACTTCTGAACCAGAATACTTTGAAAGAGCCCAGAAGATTTGTGCATCATTTTTTCCTCCCTTTAAAAATATCAGACACTTCTGTTAAAATTCCAGTAGAAAAAAAACCAAACCTTAACTTTTTGGTTAGATTTCTTTAATAAAAGACCATATCTCTGGAAATATTTCCGTTTGGAAATCACATGGACACAGAGTGTTAATAATGAATCAGTTTGAAAACCCTGCTATGGAGGACTACATGACACTATTTTAGAATCAGTTTTCTAATTTTAGGGTATTTTTGCAGACTTGAAATGTATTTCACCTTCATTCTGAAGGAATTTGCGTTGCTTCAAAGTGAGGGGTGGGAGCAGGTAGAATTTTTCTCCCCTTCCAAGTTCTCCTCAGCTACAAATTGCGACAGCATTGTTGATCACAAAAAGGGGGGCTCAGGGTTTCACTTTTGGAAGTAGTTGGAAAAATGTATTTTAAAAGTTATATATTAGGAGTTCATTAAAAAGTTAAACCATTTGATTAGAGTAGAACTAATTGAGGCAGGGGGGCAAGTCAGTCAACAAATCACTCAATCCACTATCTGTAGGAGGAAAGCAGAGGGTACGCTGCAGCAGGGAGAGAAAATAGTGGTATCCTTCCTGAGCAGGGGGGCCAGCACAGCTGCTGACATGAGGCAGGTGAAATATACTTTTAAAGTTTTACTTAGGCTCCCAAGGTGATGCAAGTTTTGAAGGGATATACTGGTCTCACTTAGGCTCAGCAGAAGTATATGGGACTGTTTGGTATTCACTTTTACCCTAACTCGGGAGAGCACGAAAAGCAAAGCGGATCCCTCTCCCTCATTGGCCAGAAAGTTTTGTTTTAAACTCCTACCAAGTTCTTCTTCAAATTGCACCTAGAACACGTGAAGGTCTCAGTAAGTAGATGGTCTGAAGAATACTATACCTGATTCAAAGTCTCTGTTACACCAAAACCCTAAGTTTGAGTTTAGAGATGTCATTCATAATTGAAGAATACTAAGCCATCACGGGCAGTGGTTAAAAAAAATAGCTGAATAATATATTTAGTGTGTTCCCTGTGAGTCTTGGGCTAGAAGTACTCACAGTTAAAAAGTGACGACTATTATTGGCCAGAGAAAGTCTTCTGAACCTGTGAAGTTTAGAGCATAGTTTCCATTCCCGCAATTTGCCTTCGACCACCATGGCAACATGAACAGCGAGTATTTTCTTACCACATATCCTCAAGCCAAATAAAATGCTCTCTCATGCTTCATTATCTAGGGACTGTACCAAAGTTAAAAAAAAGAAAAAAAAAAAGAAAAAAAAAAAGAAAAGCTACAGCTATTTAGATATGTCAATACATTAAACCTTATGGAGAGAAGCAACACACAGGAGCATGTTTCATCTTTTCATTGAAGAAACACTTGGATAGTCACAAGCAAATGTGTGCTGCAAAAGTATAGATCATCTAGATAAAACCTAAAAGTATAAAGGATATTTTGAATTATTTTGTCGTTAATGGCTAAGTTATGTTTTCTGTTACCCTTCTGAAGACGGGCTCCTTCTAAGTCTAGTTTTATTTGGGAATCTACAATCCTTGAAAAAATCTTAATGTTGGAGAACAAATGGTGAATCTGCCTAGAGCCACATCCAAAGCTCATCAGCTGCACGGATTTCAGAACTGCAGTATTAGCCGTTTTTCAGTCTTGACGATACTTTAAACTGTCTTAACTACACATAACATTCTATCATATGAAAGCCTACAGAAAAGCTCTGCTGCTAGAAAAAGAGAAAACTATGCGGCTGAAAACGCTGACAAAAGGAAATGTTTTCAAAATATCTGTAATAGCTCAAAAAACCCCCCTCAAACAGAGCAAATGATGATTGAAAATTGTTACAAAGAATAAAACAGCAAAAAAGATCATTTTGGCTAAGTACAAATTGCTGTAGATGTAGGAATATAAGCAGAATAGCGTTAGGTACTGAGATTCACTTGGTCAAGGCACAACTTCAGCTGTACCTAGGCAGATGACAAATGTAATGAAATGTTTAAATTAAGATTTTTTTTTTCCCCTTCAAATTGGTCCTGCTGTCTTTGTTCCAGACTTCTAATTTAGCTCTACTTTCATATTCCCATTGGGCTCTGCAGTGCTGGTCTTGTTCCTAGGATGAAGTGGCCTCAAACAAGAATTCTGGGTATATCCTGCAACAAGCATCTAAACCAGGTCTTTTCAAAGGTTTCGCTAAGCTTCATTTTATGTTTCTTAAAGAAATGTTTAGTCCATAGGAGAAATTCCCAAAGAGATTTAGGATTATTTTAATTTTACTCTCTAATCCAGACAGTTTTGATATTATTACCAGTATTTTGGACATTTTGACTGACTACTGTAAGGTTGACGGCCGGTCACTACCCAGCCAGTGCTTCAGATTTAAGTTGTTGCCTTCTGCTCTAATGTTCTGATAGAGACTGAATACAAAAGAGTGAGCCCGAGAGAGCTCCTTGGGGTGAAATTAAGCCCAGAAAAGGAACTTTGTGCCTGCATAGATATTCGCATGTTAGCAAAATTACTGGAATTTAACAGATTGCTTCTGCAAAAGTCTTTGGGGAAGAAAAAAATAATAGTAAAAAAATCCCTCTACAGAATGATCAAGAGCTACACACAGAGAAATGCTTTCAAAACACAAGCATTTAATTTTTTTAAATGTTAAGTGAGATGTAAATATGTACGTTAGCAACAAAGTGCTCAAAAGCATACTGAAAACATATTCCATACACAGTTAGCAATAGAAGTCTGTACAAAAGTAATAAAGTTACACATTATAAAAAATACTCCGTAACTATAATTTAAAAGAGGGAAAAAAGACAAGGGAATTGATTTCTCAGTTCATATAATTTATTGCAGTTAGCACACAGTTTAAAAATTCACCAACACACCAATAGTACAAAACTAAACAGCATTATAAGTTATTCCCCCCTCAGGAAAATAAAACATACTATGATTGTCAAAGCTAGATGTCAGTCTAAGTTTTAGAACAAAAGAAGAATGTGAAACTAAGGAAAGGAAAAAAGCAATCACTCACGAGGACCACAAAAAAATCCAAGAGAAAGTCCATTTTCCTCAGACACTGATTGTCTTCTCTAACTTAAGAAAAGAATGTAGTTTTAAAACCTAGAAACTATTCAAGTAACTAAAGATAACGCTCCAAGGCCATTTTCACAGCTTTTTTTTTTGTTTTAAATGCCATTACAGCCAAATTAACACACATTTGACCAAATATTTCCAAAACAGTCCAGCAATACACAATGGAGTTTTCCATTCAGTATCTTAAGCACAAAAATAGGCTATGTTTACAGTAGTTAAGGCGATCAAATTTTAAACAAAAGCAGAGGAAAAAAAAAAAGGGGAAAAAAAAAAGGAAAAAACAGCAAACGTTTTCCATGCTACTCCCATAGACCTTATTTGTAAGTGCAAGACAGGAAAACAAACACTGTGCAAAATGCTTTTGACCTGCGTGTTGGTCATTAAAACCACACGTCAGGCTGCAGTCTCTGCTGCTTGGATACACATAGTCCTTCCCCTGCCCTCCCCCGGCCCCCCTGTCACTCAGGCCTGCCCAGGCCTTTCAGCCCGGGGCTGCTTTTTTTTGTTTTGTTTTTTTTTTTTTTTTTTTGTGGTTTTTTTTTGGTTGTTTTTTTTTTTTTTTTTTTAATACTGAGGATGTAAGATGAACAGTTGGGCAGTCAAGATTTGTTGTTAGAATTGCTGGAAATATAGAAACACTCAAACATAATGTCAACATTTTCTCATCTGGGGAAATGGACGCACCTCAGTTGGAGCTGGCGTGGGGTCTGTGCAATTAGAAGGGGTCTGGGGTTAGTAAATGCACACCGCACATGCAAATCTCGAAGCCTGGTTGTAAACATTCATTTTTTTTTTTTTTCCTTGTTAACGTAGCTAAATCGGCGACTCGTAGCTTAAGTTCTTCTCAACTTAAAGACAGTGGGAAAGTAAATTTAAATTAGATAAAATAAAAACAGTGCATTTCTCTTCTTCGTAACACCGGCATTTTCAGCAGTGTCATTTTTTTTTTTTCCTAAGGAAATTAAATAATTTTCAACTCACTCGTTAAAGTTATACAATGCAAACAAAGACAAAAATATACTGAAAATCATGCATTTCTGTAGCGTTAATATTTACTTTTCAAGACTCAACTAAGAGCATCAACACAACCTGCCAAGTTCTTTGATACCTCCCCCCGGCCCATGTAATCAATTACAGTATACAATAACAGTAATTCACATTTTTTAAACACACAGTTCATCACTGCTGAAGCTGCAATATCCTTTTTCATCCCAAGCAAACCTTCACGTAAGACAGAGTCCCAGTGATCCCAGTGTACTCTCAGGGTTTTTGTTTTATGTTTTTGTGTTGTTTGTTTGTTTGTTTTTTTTCCAGTGGGAACTGTCAGAAATCCAGAAGTTGCCATAATAAGTTTTAAGTCAACTGCTTGTTTAAAAATAGATAATCCAGCATTTCAGAAATTTTCCATTTGGGTCTAAAAGCATTCAGGTTTCCAACAGCTAGAAAGGACTCATGCAATTATAGAAATGTAAAGGAACTGACAAAATTGGGAGAGGATTTCTACATTCAGATTTTAAGAGGAAAATGATTGAGAGCTTAAAAGAACGCAGTGTTTTGGGGAGAATAAAGCCACGTCCAAATTTTTTGAATTGCAGATTCCTTAGAAGTAAAGTATCCGCTGGCTTCTATTCCGAAAAGGGGGAAAGAATACGCTCCGTAATTTGTCACTTTGTCGGATTACCTCTACAGTTCATTTTTATCAGAGTGCTAAATTAGTGAAATGCTCATGCTGCCTTAAAGTGCAAAAACAAGCTAATAGCCAAACTTTCAGTTCAAGGAAACAAGATTGCTTTTAGACTGTACCACAACTATATAGATTTATATATATATTATTTATATATATAAAAATTTTATTTCCAAAGTTCTTGTGAGCTATCTTCTAAGGTCCAGTCTCTGACAGTAGGTAAGCTCAGTGCTTCGCTTTTGACAGACAATGAGTTCACCAACTCACAGTGAAACTTCCGAATGTGTCTGTAAAGGTCTCCGGACTGTGTGAACCTGCGTTCACACCACTTACAAGCATGAGGCTTCTCCCGCGTGTGAACCACTGCGTGGCGGCTCAGGTTGTGGGAGTACTGGAAGCTCTTCCCACACTGGGTGCAAGTGTAGGGCTTTTCACCTGAATGAGTCCTCTCATGACGTTTCAAGGTGTACATGCAAGAAAAAGTCTTACCACACAATGAGCAGGTTGGGACATTGACATCGGTAGCAGGCTTGCTGCGGATCCCGTCCTGCTCTCGAAAGTGCGTGCTTAAATGGATCTGCAGGATGTGGGGACTAGGAAAGACCTTGTTGCAGAGAGGACACATGAAAATTTGGCCAGCAGGGCTAAGTATGTTTGACACGTAAGGGAGCAAGCTGCTGTCCATGTTTCCTTCCACCTGGACTCTCTCGTTCTCTGGAGTTATCATTTCATCATCGCTTGCCTTGTCTTCTCTGTCTAGCTCCCTCAAGACCGAATCTTCCCTCATTGGAGCCAGGTGGGCCGGCTCATACTGTACCCTGTTATTAGTGCTCACACTTTCTTTCACAGTGCTATGTTCCATATCATAGTCATTAGTGCCAACATCACTCTCATCACAGGAAGCCTCTTTCTCCACCTTCACCTGAACCAGGCTGCTTCTAAGCATGTCCTGCGAAGAGAAATAAGAACTGTTCAAATTTTCAACTCCTGAAAGGCTGGACTTGACAGACAGGTCCAGCACGCAGTCAACATCTGCTGAATCCCTCACGGAGGTGACAGACCTCTGGGACAAAGACTCTGTTGAGCTGCAGGGGCTGGCTACTGTTTTTCCAGCTGCTGCTGCGTGCGTCTCTGCCTCTCCGCCAGTCTGGGGAATGCCTGCTGAGTCTGAGGGCAATCTCATCCACATGTTCCCAGGCTCAGCCGCCAAGTCCCTTTTGCTAGGCAGGATGTTCAATTTTTCATCTTCTCCGTCGTCTTCATCGCTGGGCAAGTCTCCTGGCATGTGGCTGCTGCCGTCGGAGAGGCTCTCCACTTTGTCTGAACAACTTGAGGCGTCTTCCTCCTTTTTTGTACTGTCTGCCTCCGTGGTTGCTTTCTCTTTCAGCTTCTTTTTGCAGACTTTGACAATGTCATACATGTGGAGATAACTGGCAGCTGCTAGCACGTCTTCAATGGGCAAGTCTTTGAACTGGAGCTTTCCTTCGTACATGAATTCAAGCAGGAGAGCGAAAGCTGGGGCTGTAACAATGTCGCTGTTCAGATGAACAATGTCCCTTTTGTCCAGCTGGTCCTTGTAAAAGAGGTGGAAATACATGCTGCATGAAGCCAGTACAGCTCTGTGCGCTCGGAACTGGGCATCTCCTACCAGAACAGTGCAATCACAAAGAAAACCCTGATGTCTCTGCTCACTCAGACACTGTAGCAAATGTCTACTGTGGTCAGGAAACTCCATGCTGTCTTCATAACCTATAAGCAACGAGATTTTTAACAATTAAATGTAGGTCAGAATCACAGAGCTTACGAATCCAAGTTACTCCACTCCAAAAACCTCGTATTTATATTGCCAGAATTCTGGTACTTACACCACGCAGAAATTATTTAACACGCGTGTACAATGGCACCTCTTTCCCCAATCAACAACTGAAGTTAAGATTTCCTTTCCCTGGTAAATAAGCCGTTCTAATAAGCACATAGGTACATTTGTAATTTTTTTTAAGTATCGCTGCTGTTCATAAAATCTGTTTAACAGTTACTTTTTTAGGGAACTTCCTCCAGATTGTGTTCCTAGGAGGGCAGACCCAAAAAACAAAAAAACAAAAAAACAAAAACAAAAACAAGAAATTTTTTTTAACACTAAGTTTAAGAGATCACAGAGGGGAAAGAAAAAAAAAAAATCAGATCATCAATCTTCTTTTTAAAGTCAAATTCTAGTAAGAGGAGAGGTTCGCACATGAAGAAATGCTAATATACCCAAATCTGAAGGTCTTAACATTCATAAAGTAGAAAAATCATTCACGGGTGTCAGTTTATATCAACAGCAAAATCAAAGTTTTTAGAAATTTAGTTCCCATGGTTTTCTTCTTGTAGTAAGCACAGTTTCCGGTTTTAAACCTTCTCCATACTGTACAATAGAATATGAACATTTTTTTGCTAACGTGGAGAATTTACAAAAGAAACTAACCACCAAAACACCAATGAGCACCGCTTCCCCTATGCAGGACAGAAATTTCCCTCCCCTCCCACACCAGGCAGAGTTTGCAGTACCCAACTTAAAAAAAAAAAAAAAAAAAAAAAAGTCATTCAACAGGAACATGTGTGCATATTTAAAAATCCGTATCCTGAGTACTGCCCTTACCCAAGTATTTTTCTATTCACCTTCCTTGATGATAAAGAAAAAAATAAACTTAAAAAAGAAGCAGAGAAGTCAAAACTCAAGTGGAAAGTAAAATCTCTTAAAAACCTGTCTTAATCTATTCTTCTGTGATTGATAGCAATGCTATCCCAAACCATCTAAGCAGATCGTGGCTCTCTAGGCTGCCAGATATTATTGAAAAATCCTCATCCCTTGCAAACCAAGATGTACTAAAACTTACAACACAACCCCTACTATATGCTCTAAAATACCATTGCTAGAGTAAAGCACGAAGATTTACAATACAATCACTTTAAGTGCCCCACAGCCAACATCAATCCTAATCCTTAAGAGGGCTAAAAATAAAGATTGGAGGGCAGCTCACAAGGTAGCTGTGATCAAATTAGGAGGCTGAAAGGACAGAGAGGGACGAAGAAGGAAGCTTATAAACATCTGATCCAGCTGACTGTGGCCATATGGCAGCTGCTGCCCAGATAAAGAGATTAAGAATAGAGGAGTGCGATTACAGCTGTCTGGCCAATTCAGGCAGCTCAAATCTACAAGTTCTAAATTAGTCGCAAATACAAAAACTCCTTCAAATAATTATTGTTATGCTGAAATAAAAGATTTCAAATACTACATGTGAGAAAGAAAAAGACGAAACCAGTCAAGCCATTCTCCCAGCTACAGAAGTTTTTAAACACATAACTGATTTCTATCTTTCAGAAGCACTACAGCTGTATGCTACTACGGTTCTGAGCTGCTGGATATTTAACCATGAAGTTTAATGGAAGACTCACCCACAAACACATTTTAGCCAAAACAGTCCTCTTTTTTTAAAAAAAAATAAAAGCACACTTTTGTGTATTTCACTAAACCCCCCATAAAGTCATTGAAAAGATGCAATACAAGAACATAAAGTAGAACTCTCTTTAGGGTTGCCACTAAATCCATTGCAGTTTTGGTCTCAGAAATGAAGAATGAACTTGCTCTCTCCTTCTTCCAAATCAAGACATTCTCACAATATGCATTAAAGTTAATGGTAACAATGTGCCAAAGAACTGATACTCTCCAACTGCAGCCCAAGCCTTTTGACCAAGTCCACTTATCTACTTAATACTCAATTTCACAAATTGCCTCTAAACTTGGTTAGAAAAGTAATGTGATTTTTTTTCTAAAATTCAATAAACAACACACCAAAACAGAAATATGCTGTATCTAATCTATTGCTACTCCTACCTTTAGTACACATAAACCTGATTAAGTCCTTTCCTCTGAGTCTTGCTGGCTCCAGGTCTGTTAGATCGGTGGAAAAAAAGCAGACTAGGAGAGACAGATGCAAAGTGGAGATGATGTTAGAGAGGAATGAGATACCTTCTCCACACACAGATCTGCACACACTAACTCCCTGTCTGTGTGTTAGAATAAAAGGCTGAGGGATGGCAGGCTGTCAGCTGCTCTGACATCATGTTCAGATGGAAATGCTACCTCCAGCTGTGCTCCTTTTAATGCCATATGCTACTCCTCTACACTCCTGCCACCAGCTTTTTCTTAGGAGAACTTTTCTCTTCTGTTAGTATAAACAAAATACTTCAAAGTCTCTTTTTTTCAAACTTTCTAACAGGGAGAAAAAAAAAAAAGAAAATCCTAAACATATGGGGTTCTACTGCATTTGCAGCATAGCAACACTTCTGGCTTAAGTTAGAGGACCGCTTTATGTACTGACAGCACACCCCAGCCACGGGGTTACCCGAGAAACCCAGACCGGTTCGGTTTTACCGAGCCCAGAGGTTCAGTTAAAAGAAGAAATTAACCGAACCTATTGACTCAACTCGCAGCTCCCCGCTTCCCCGCCGGTCCTTTCCGTTTCAACGCTTACACAGCCTAAGTGACACCGAGCGCTGGGGCTCCAGCTCATTTACAGCAGCAAAGCAGTTAAGCTGGCCGGGACACTATTGCCAGCCTTCAGCCCTCCTCATAAACCGCT